CTATGTATTTGGATCATTTTTTTCACATTTTACCATTGAAATACCAAAATATTGATTTTAGATCTTAATTCTATATAAAATGAGCTTTAGTTTGATAACAAACTTGATGGGATTTGATAAGTATGAAAAATTACAAAAAATCACTCTGCATTATGAAATTGCCCAAATATATAAATGCAGGCCTACCAGAACATATAACTAAATATAACCAAAATAATTACGTATTTTTAATACCGTACTCTGAAAAAAAAAAAACCTCACAGAGCACGTGCTGAATGCCTAGTTGTTTTGTTGACAAAATGCCAACTTCTAAAAATAGACCGTTATCTCCAGTACAGTAATTCTATTTTTAGACGACAGCATGATAGTGGGATAGCGTGCCGCTGCTGGAAATCAGTTTGCAGTCTCTACTAGTTTTTTTATCTCACAATCCAAGAACATGTGAATTCTATTGAAATTTTACCCATTCTCTTTAATGTTATAATGTCACAGTGTTTTGTTGTACTGTAAGTTTAAACTTACAACAAAAAAGTTCTTTACGGTAGGCCAGCGAGCGAGGAGCGACATTTTTACATACGTCCATAGAGCTATTATGCATACGTCACTGTATTCGTTCAAATTTTGTATTTCTAATTTATAGTTTATTGTTTGTTAAGTGAGTATTACTGCTTTAAAAACAAAATTAAAAATTATAATTAGATGTAATTTGTATTTCAATAACAGAAAAATAATATTATACCTACTTTTAAATTAGTTTTGTTAAACTTTACGAATTGTTTTACACAGTCAACAACAACATGGCGTCGTCTAGCGGCGGACATGTGCCGAATGTAAAAAAGTTTTGTTAGCACGGTGAAGAAATCACTTCAAGCTCCAAATGAAGTTACAAAGGCTAGATTATGTATAGTTTCAATCAGTAACAACACAAATATTGCTAAAAAACTTGTGTCTGACCTTTGTTGAAGGAAAGACCTACAAGAAGTTACTGGTTTTACCGGTTCTTATCCTTCTACTAGTAGGCCTACTACTACTCGTCCGAACGGCCATCGGAATTAGCCCCAAGGCTATTATTAGATTACACATGTATTTAAGTTTTTGTCCGAACACGGACATAATCAACGATTACTGGATTGTTATTCATTAATTGTTTATTCTACACCCAACGTCGAATTAACAATGTCGCTGAAAACCGGAATTGCGTACGACGCGACCATTAAATGGACGCAAATTGGATGTATTTAGGATGCGTCAGGCGCAGTTTTTGTGAGCGGTACTGTACAGTAATTCCACATTTACAGTGAAATTAAGGGGCATCTTTTTGCATATATATACGTATCCATTTTACTCTGTAAAAATAAACACCTCCCTCGAATAAACGCAACCTCAAAAACAATCTTAACAATAAACGCCCTGGGGCATTTATTCGAATAAATATTGTATGGTAATAAAAAAAATGGCATAATGGGAAATACAACAAGATGAGTCACTAAATGAAAAAAAAAACAACAATTTTAAGATTTCATACCATAAATCAATAAAATATGAATAATTAAAATCATTCTTGAAAGTGTATTTAATTTTGCTCTTAATACCAATTAACATAGTAGGTTCAGTGTTAATTATTATTAACACTGAACCTACTATGTTAATTCACATTCACAAAAAGAAACAGCCCACAACAAGGGGAATTTCTATTACTTAAAGCAGCAAATACATTATATTTTTATGCTTACATAATAGGATATTTCATGTCATAGTTGTCATAATTCATTTTGGAATTTAAGACAAGTCTGACCAGTAGCATCGTCAATGCCCACATACAAAATGAAAGTATAAACTATATTTTTAAAGGATGACATTCCAGCTAAGCCGAGATGTCAGATGATTTTCAAGGGTACTTTAGAGTAAATCAAATAATGTGATGTGATATAAACCAGCTGTCATTAAAGTCAGGCTCCGGAGGAAAAACATTTTTTGATATGTTGTAGAACTGATTTTTCTAAGACAGAAAAAGTTGTTTGACGAAAAACTGGAGAACGGTGAATGAGATACACATTTTTTAATATTTAAAAACTGGGGGAAAAAGGGGCGTAACTGCCTATTTTTACATCTTATTCCCCCAGTTTTTAAATATTAAAAAAATCTGTATCTCATTCACCGTTCCCCAGTTTTTCGTCAAACAACTTTTTTCTGTCTTAGAAAAATCAGTTCTACAACATATCAAAATGTTTTTTCCCTCCAGAGCCTGACTTTAAAAGGGGATGGACACGGAATTGTCTATAGTTGCAAGAACAAAAGTTCTATGTATATCACACAGTTTGAACTAAAAAAAAAAACCAAGCTCCCATTTTATTTCATACACACCTGATAGAAAGACAGCAAATATTTTTACTGCTTCATTTGAAAATAATTACAGAAACAATCAAAAACTATGTAGTTGTTATGTTATGGATCCCAGCTAATGCGAACACTGATAGCTTTAAAGATGTATTGTCCCCAGAAAATGACAAAAAATCATAAAAAATAATATTGAAATTTACTTGCTCATTTTGCAGCAACATATAAATTATTAACTTGAGCATAGAAATTATTGAATTTAAAAAATGTGTACCCTGATTATTTCTATATAAAAGTTTATGTTAAAGTTGTTTTTTTTTTGTTTATATTGTATTGTCATTGTATTTGTTTTTGATGATGGAGTAAGAGCAGTTTACTGTTTGGGCTTATGCCTATTACTTACTCCTGGCAAGAATATTGTATGTATACTTTTTAATTTGCCGAATAAATATTATTATTATTATTATTATAATTTTTATGTTACTTCAAAATGGGCAATTTAATTTCAAAAATGATTTTAATGATTTTTTTGGCATTTTGAATGGGACAATACATCTTTAATGTCCTGGTACAATAACTCACTTGACAGCCTGCTCTCTCTGGGCCTTTCTGACTTCTGGTTTCTGGTTCCTCTTAGCCATAATATCAGCCAAAGATGCACCAGTAATAGACCTCTGGTACTTAGTGGTACGCCTAGTCCTTTTCTTCATGACCTCCTCTTGAGTTCCCTTCTTGTGTTTACGTCTGTACAGGACAGTCCAGTTGATTTCACGGGGATTACGTCGCATCATGAAAGATGCTTGGCATTTGCCATTCATGAAGTTGAAAACCTGAAAATTATGTTTTTTTAATTTATTAATTTTTCCTTTATATTAGTTATAAATTTGACCAAGCTCAAAGTAATCTAGATCAAACAACACCACCATATGCCTTTCACTAGAGTTTCCTAGACCCAAGCCGGTCCAAGACTAAACAACAATAAAAATCATAACAAGCAGTGCACATTTTGCTGCACCTTTGGGTTCTATATCCACCATTGTCTAAACGAACATTAAGTATGAATGGGCCTTCCTAGGGGTTCATTAAAAAGGCACATTCCACAGCACAGCCCAACCTAGTATTACAAACCAGTGTTTATTTTCTGAAGTGAACATGATTGCTTCTAATAATAATAATGCAATATATTTTATAATGCACTATGTTTAAAACAAAATTTCTACTGATGCAGAGAATAATTCGAACAGTTGTCGATAAAAACATCATTAGCAAAAAATGAAAGTCTTAAATTGAGTAAATGATTACAGTAAACTAATATTTTAAGTTATAACTACTAGTGTTTAAAGATTTCTTGTTATTTTTTTGTCTGCAATATGAACAGCAAATAGCTTTTCAAGGGGAGCATTCAATTGAGATTAGCGCATTTGTTGTGCATTTTGTTAAACTGAGCAATTAACGTGTCTGTTTCTAGTATTTCTCATCACTGCTGAAGAAAATAAAGCAGTCGATTGATCAATTGTTGGCACTAATACAGTTTCACATCCTGCCTTAAACTTAAAATTGATTACCAAATTATTGAATACTTACAATTATTCATCATTAATACATTCTCTGATGTGACCATCTGCTCATGTCTGGCTCTTTCCCAGTAACCCTTGGCCTAACATGTATCATTCTAGATTAGGCCTAGGCCTTCTACTATTAGCCTAGCTTATGCAAGTAGTACTAGGCTAGGCCTGTAAGCTAGCTAACTAGGCCTCTACCACCAGCATTTAGTTAGCCCACGATAGGGTAGGGCCCGGGCGAGTAGTAGCCTAGTCTGCTACTGTCTAGGCCTAGCCTAGCTTACTAATGATACTAGGGCCTAGGCCTGAAGCAACAGGCCTAAGCAATTAGCAAAACAATACAACGGCAAATATTAAAACGTCTGATATGATAGGAAGCTAGAATAAATTCAGGAAAAGGCCTAGCTACTCACTTTTCCATCAATCCTGGCGAAACGCTTTCCATGACCAGGCTGGATTTTATATCCGCTGTAACTGCACAGCTCGAGTCTAAAAAATGACAAAATTTAATAAAACGTAAAATTAAGATATATTATTTGACAAACAATCATAAAAATTACCTACTTATTACGATGATATGTACGATTAGAGAAGATAAACTTTACAGTTCCAATAATTCTTACTTCATTTTGACAGAATCGGAAAGCAAAAGGACGATGGGAAGGCCATGGTGACCGTAGTTGTATTTTTCTTTATAATTATGTGAGATTAATTATTTTAATAAGAAATGCTGCAATGTATATATTTTATTATTAAGTTTTAAATTTATTATATTTTTAAAAATGTTTTTATTTATTAAAGGCTTATTACATAAATAAAATATACAAGTTAATTAAGAATTATCATTAAACATCGCCGGTTAAAGCAGACCACATTTTGTTTATTTACTCTTTGATTTTCAAATCACCTGACTTGCCAAACTAGAGATAACATTAACAATGTCTTCCGAGGTACAAAAAATTGGTCCTAAGCATGAAAAAGTTGCTATTGTTGGAAGGTATACATTAATGTCTTTTAATTTCGGTCGATAAAAACGGGTTTGTTTACTTAGTTTAGGCCTTGCTCTCTGTATGTAGACTGGGGTGAAGATTGCGAGTGTGTAGTGTACTGTACTGAACTGAACTGAACTGAACTGAAGTGTAGCACCGTGGATGCACTGATGTGAGCAGCTTCGATAAAAAGCCGGGGCTGCTTAACATGGCATCAATATGCCATCATTCGTACATCATGTAAACTTGTAATCCAGCCCTCCCTAGCAGCAGATAACCTCTCAAATTCCATTATTGCACGACAATCAGTAGTTCATTATTTTCTTAAATATGTACATATATTATATAATGTACATATAGAATACAAATATATATAATATATGC